CTCGATGTTACTAATTTGCAATAACTAGCCCCATATTTTGTGATACTTAATGTGATGCTCTTTCTTTTTTTTAGCCATTACTAGGTTCTTGCCAGTTGCTATTCCTTGGTTATTACTTCCAAGGTTGTTAAAATCGCGATTCAAATCGTGTATGATTTTACGATCTAAAATAACTAAACCGATCTGAATCGTTTGCAAAACCGGAATTTATAAAGATCGTGAAAAAAACATTTTTGAATCGCTAAAATCGTCACAAATCGTGATGTAATCATGATTCCTTGATTTTTGAAATTTGACTTTAGCACTCACCATACCAGACGAATTTATCAGGCCTGTTACTCAAATCGAAGTGCTTACTGCCTGCTTTGAGTATCCCAACGTCTCAAACTAAACAGTTATATAGGCAAGGGAGGTGGAAAATTTCCAAATCTCCTCAAAAACCAGCTTGCTGGGTATTAAACCCACGTCCGATTGTACAAAGAGTGTTATTATTGCAAACTGTTTAACCAACTCATCAATGACAACTTTGTGTTTATATCCAACTATTAATTTACTTATTCAATATGCTACAGAACAAACATACTAATAGACTGTTAAAACATCATTGTTATTTTTGTGTATTTTGTCCTTTTTTTACATAACATTTTTTTGTAATTAATTATTTTGTTCACTTTAATTAACACATAATTGTATGACTTTAACTTATAATGGTTTGACTTAATAATGTTAAATTTTGAGTTTTCTTTTATTTAATACAACAACAACATCCAAGCCTTAATCCCAAAAGAATTTGGGGTCGGCTAACATGAAATCGATCAATGATATCGATGTCAAACAGAGAAGATACACAAGAAAGGGAAGAAAAAAAGTAAGATAAAACGAATAAAATAAAGATAAATAAATATAAGATAACAATAACACAAGAATATAAGAAAGATAAAAGATAAAAAAAGAGCATAAAAAGCTAGAATATAAAAATAACATAAGAATATACAAAGATAAAGATGATAAACGATAAAAGAAAAAAGAGAGGAAAGGTAGAAAAGACATCAATCGTCCACACGGATGTGCGCCCTCCACTTTGCTCTCTCCAAAGCCATACTCTCATCCAACCCAAGAAGACGCATATCAGTTCCGATTCCTCTAATCCAAGTCTGTTTGGGTCTTCCCCTTCCTCTCTTCTCTGCCTCTTCTTCCCACCCCTCAAGTCGTCTAACAGGTGCATCACTCAATCTTCTATGCACATGCCCAAACCACCGCAAACGAGACTCCTGCATCATATCTTCTATAGGTGCTACTCCCACCTTTTGTCTGATTATCTCATTCCTCAAACTGTCTCTTCTGGTATGTCCACACATCCAACGCAACATATGCATCTCTGCTACACTCATCTTTTGAATGTGGCATTGCTTCACTGCCCAACACTCTACGCCATACATTAATGCAGGCCTAATTGTTGTTCGATAAAATTTACCCTTCAGTCTAGTCGGCATACCTCGATCACATAGAAATCCCGAGGCACTCTTCCATTTCATCCACCCAGCTCTGATTCTATGACATACATCTCCATCTAATTCACCATCCTTCTGAATTATGGTACCCAAGTAGCGGAACATATCACACACCGGTATCTCCTTACCATCAAGAGTAATCCCACTGTTGCTACTACTTCTACCTCCACCAAACTTGCACTCCATATACTCAGTCTTACTTCGGCTCAGTCTGAAACCCGTGGTCTCCAATGTTTGTCGTCATACTTCCAACTTTGCTTTAACACCGGATTGTGTCTCATCAATCAATACAATATCGTCGTCAAACATCATGCACCACGGTATATCTTCTTGAATTGACTTCGTAAGTTCATCCATGACAATATCAAATAAGAAAGAACTCAGAGCAGATCCTTGGTGCACTCCGATAGTAATAGGGAACTCTGTGGTCCTCCCTACACTAATGCGGACGCTTGTAGTATAAGCATCATTCATATCCATGATGATACTGATATACTTACGTGATATGCCTTTTCTAGTTAAGGTCCACCACAGGACTTCTCGAGGTACCCTATCATATGCCTTTTCTAAATCAATGAGCACCAAATGCATACCTTTTTTGTGTCTATACTTCTTCATAACTTGTCTAAGAAGGTGAATGGCCTCAATTGTTGAGCGTCCAGACATAAAACCAAATTGATTCTCCGAAATTTTCACACTTTCACACTTTTCTTTTATTTAAAATTTTTAATAATTTTTATTTAATTATTTTGTAAAATCTTACGATTTACGATTCGATTCTACGATTCAATTTTTATATCCTTCTACCGATTCGATCAAAAAATATGATTTTAACAATCTTAATTACTTCAATAATTCCATTGCATACCTAGATCAATGTAAAAGATCATTTCAGACTCCCATTCTCTATACATGTCCATGGATCATATACATTTAAATACAATTTCACGTTCAACTAGATTAAGTGCTAGTTCATCTGTAGCGATATCTTTTACAAAAAAACTGCTTGATTTGAGTGACTTATGTTGCCATGCTTGGTTTTCGTTGGATGTTTAGTTTTCAATTTTATGTGTCTTGGAACAACTCCAAAAAAATAAAAAAATGCTCAGTTTATGTGTATAATGTTTTTGGAGATTTGGTTATTATTATTTTTCCTGTATGAAACTATGCTTCAAGCTTTTAATATTGTTTTTTTTTCTGAAACTTGTAACCATGTAGGCTCGGGGAGAGTGTTTTGGTAGGATTACCATTGAAGCCATGGCCTTTCAGCTTCCTGTGCTAGTATGTGATTTCTCCTTACCATGTTCCTAGTATTAAAAGTTTTAACTACATTTCTTCGCTTTACTGAGCGTGAATAATTCAAAACAAGAGTTCTTTCCGCTTATGGTACTTGGCATTGACACTTCTGTTACGTCTTTGAATGATTTTTTTGCAATTTTAGTCCACTCATTGCTATGATTCATACTTTTTGCTATCTGGTTTAGACTTTTAGATTTTTTCCCACTTTTGGAGAATTAGGCATCTGAATATTGTGACTAACACTTTTAGTCCTCTAACTACTGTGACTTCTAACGGCAGTTAAAGTTTTGGTCCTAAAGTGTCAGTGGCAAGAGACTAAAAGTTGTAAATCCAAAGATGGATACAAAAAGTCACTATCACACTGATACGGAGACTAAAAGTGAAAAATTCAAAGACGAGCACAAAAAATGTCATTGCTATAAAGTTAGAGGACTAAAAGTGGATAAACTCTCCATTTTAATAATAATAGTGCCTTGCAGATTAATGACTTGCCTAAGTGTGACCGGTACGTGAAATATTTAAGTAATTTTTTTTGTGTGGAATGTGGATAGAAATAAGAGCCACTAATTAGTTACTAATGGAAAGTGTCAAAAGTTGTAGTACAATAAAAATAGAAAAGTTGTCAAAGTTTTTTGAACAATCAAGGAAGGAAAGTTGTCCAAGTTTTAAGGGACAGAGTAGTATTTATGACCTATAACATAATGTTAATCAAGTATGTTGGCAATTCTAAATCAAGTAAGTACTCCGTATTTAATTAATTTAATTCACATTATGAACACCTTTTTACATACCCATTTCTTTATGATAGGTAGGATTTTTTTATTATATTCTTTTAATAGTTTGAAAGAAGTAAGCTCTGAATGGTTGCTATTCATTTGCAAATTGCACTCCAGGGAACTGCAGCTGGCGGTACACAAGAAATTGTTCTGAATGGAACAACTGGCTTACTACATCCCGTGGGAAAAGATGGGATAATGCCTCTTGCAAGAAATATAGTCAACCTTGCCTCTCATGTTGAGAGGAGGCTTACAATGGGTAAGAAGGGCTACGAGAGGGTGAAAGAAGTATTTTTGGAGTACCATATGGAAGAACGAATTGCTGCTGTTTTGCAGGATGTGCTTCAAAGGGTGCCTCCGACACCAAATCTGGAATCTAGAGCAGCATAAAGTATGTTAATATAAAATCACACACAATGTAGTTCTAGGCTTTCTTCCGGACAGATGATTGATTTGTTTTACGTTTCGCTAATTTGTACAGACTATATTGTTGAGGTTAGTTATATTTTTGGGATCCCAGTGTATACTCAACAATTTTCAGCATTCTAAGGGAGTTTGTGTTTGCTGGTGCTTTTCAAAAGTGGTTTATTTAAGTGATTATTGAAAAATGATTTATTGTAAAAGTAGATAGTGTTTGTAAATAGAAGTGATTTTTAATTAAAAGTTAAAGTATGATAAAAAAAATTAAAAGTTAAAGTTGACGTTAGGGGTGAATTCGGTTCGGGTAGGGATGGACTCGGGTCCGGGTCGGGCCGGCGGTTCAAGAATAGTGGACCCGGGTAGCTACCGGGTCCGGGCCGGGCCGGGCCTCCGGTTTTGATTTTTATTTTGCTTTCCTAACCCCCCCCCCCCCCCTCACCCCCTACCCTCCCAAACCCCCTCAAACCCATCCTACCCATCAAGCCCAACCCGGGTGGAACCCCAAAAATGAAAAAAAAAATGAAAAAAAATTCAATTTGGCCCGAGCCCGGGCCCGACCTGGCCGGGCCGGTTCACCAAAATTGAGACCCGAGCCCGGACCCGCCCTACCCCCCGGGCCTAGGCCCGACCCGGACCCGAGAACCGGGCCGGTCCCGCACAGTAGCGGGCCGGGTGGCCCGACCCGAGTCCAACCATAGGTCCGGGCAGTTTGGGGAGGGGGTGGGGGGGTGGGAGTGGGGTAAAAAAACTATAAATACTCCTAATCTTAAACATTACTCTCTAATTATTTTCATCTTCTCAAATTCTCTTATTCTCCAATATATTATATATCTACTTATATTATTTATCTACTTAGAAATACATATATTATATTACTTATATATCTTATCTACTTATATAGTTATATTAATTATCTATTTATAAATACATATATTATATTACTTATATTTGTTATCTACTTAATCTCTACTTATTATCTACTTATTATCTACTTATATCTACTAAATACATACATATTACAATTTATATCTACTTAGTTAGAATTGTTAGAATTTTATTTCATTAAAGTTAGAATTGTTAGAATTTTATTTCATTACTTCGAATTGTTTTTATAAATTAATATTTGTTACATTTTTAAGATGAAAGGTGGTAGATATTCGGTTGATATGGGTAACCTTGAGCGCAACCGAACGAACGAGCTTGCGAGGAAGAAATCCCGCAAAGGTAAATCACATATCGGCTCTTCATCTCAAAGTCGAGATGATTTTGATACAGGTTACGCAAGGAGGGATGGTGATGCCATGACCGACGAACAACTAGAACAAGAATTGCATTGACATAATAGTCGGTTTTTCCAAGACCAGCCGAGGACCATTGACGAAGAAGAGCTTGAGGACGACGATGTGGAGGAAGTAATTACGGAGAGCCACGACAGCGAAGAGGAGGAGGGTGGCGGCAGCCACGACGCCGACGAGCCTGCCTCATCCCAAACATGTACGAAAAAAAGTAAATCTGAACTAATGCAAAATAATTTTGATAAGTGGAAGGACCCGAACACCGGGAATTGGAATGCAACTTGCAAGTGGTGCAAAAAAAATTATAGCTTGGGGATTTCGGGCGGATACGGATCCGCCACAAGGCATCTTAAGGCCAAACACCCGGTGGAGAATGCAAAATTAGGCGGCGGAACGGGGAAGCAAACTGAAATATCGAGATTTGCAAATAACCAACCTTTTGGTAATTTCTCATACAATGATGCACAAAATTTGACTGGTATGGCTAACTCACTTGTTGAAGAAAATTTGCCTTATTTGTTTTCTGAAAGTCTTGTTTTTCGTAATTATGCACAAACTTGTTTAAATCCTCAATATAGAGGTTATAGTCGCAAAACGGTTAAGAAAGAAATTTCAAGGCTTTATGATGCGGAAAATGTAAGGTTACAAAATTATTTTGCAAACTTTGATGGGCTTGTTACTGTATGTTCTGACATATGGGGGGATACTTATCATAATTTACATTATTTGGGTCTGACTGTACATTATATTGATAATGATCGGAATATGCATAAACGTGTTCTTGCTTTTCGTGAATTTAATGATCGTCACACCGCTGAACATATTTATATTTTGATTGAGCGTATTTTAATTGAGTATAATTTAATTGATAAGGTGTTTGCTATTGGTTTTGATAATGCTACTAATAATACTGCTGTTATTCCTAGATTGCGTGAATTGTATGGTTCTACTTCTTTGATGAGTAGATTTTTTCATCAATGATGTGAATGTCATGTCTAAAAGCGTTAGGAGCATCTTTGGAGGTAGTCAGGGGGGGGGGGGGGATTAGACATATTTGGGGTAATGGTCAACTTAGAAAAAAATTGCATGATTATTTGATAGAAAGAGGTGAGAAATATGTGGCTTTCTCTAAAGATTTATCTATTCATTGGAATAGTACATATAAGTTAATTGCAGTTCTTCTTAGATATAAACAACAGTTTCCTGCTTTTATGAAACAATATGATAACTATATTATAAATTCGGCTGAGATTGACACATGCAAAAAAATTTGTAATGCTTTGGTATATTTTAATAATGCAACTGAAATTTTTAGTCATGTTTATAAACCTATCTCAAACCAATTTATTCGTGAAGTTGTTAATCTCGCCGATGCTTTTTCAAACTTTGAGAATGCCGATTATGTGAGTTATTTTGCTGGTTTTATGAAGGAAAAGTTTTTAAAATATTATTCACATGTTCCGCATATTTATGGTATTGCATTTGTTCTCGATCCTCCTTTTAGACTTGGTTCTTTAGAAGAATGTTTGAATTATTATTATGCTGCTTTTTTTGGTCCAATGCCAATGTATGATGAGAACTCAATTGATTCGAAAAAAGAATACAACGAGGTTAGTGATATATTTTATGCATTATTTAATGAGTTTCATGCACAATATGATAACGCGCCCCCTCCCCCGACACAAACCTCTTCATATAAAGGAAAATCAATTTTGAAATCTACATTTGCCAAACTTATTAAAAAAACTAAATCAACATCCGCTACTCAACAAAGCACAATTAATGAGATTTCTTTGTATTTAACATATGATGTTGATTTTGAAGAAGATGATGACTTTGACATTCTAAACTGGTGGAAGGGAAAAGAAAGAATGTTCCCGGTTTTAGCAAAGATGGCTAAGCAAGTGCTATCAATGTTGGTTTCAATAGTTGCCGTGGAACAAGAATTTAGTTCGGCCGGCAATGTCCTAACGCAGTGTAGAACGAGGTTGAGCGCAGAATCTCTTGAGATGCTTATATGCTACCACAATTGGTTGAAGGCGGCCCGTAGAGCTCAAGAAATTGACATCATCCCATCCCAACACTTTATGGATGAATCTACAATCGATGGTGGCTCTACCTATGTCGGAAATTTCGATTGATTAATATTTCATGTTTTAATTTTACCTTCAATTCTCAATTGTAATTTCATATTGTATTTTTTTCTTAATTGTCAAATGTAGTTCCTATTTCATTTCAAATAAATGCACTTGAGGTTTGTTTTTAATACTTGTATAAAACTATAAAGTATAAATTATAAAAAATGGGATTTAACCAGCCCGGCCCGGCGGGTGGCCCGACCCGTGACCCGGGCGGGTGGCCCGGCCCGAACCGGAACCGCCTGTACCTCGGGTCGGCCCCGGTCCCACCACTCACAAACCGGCGACCCGACCGACCTGACCCGACCCGACCCGAATCCATGAGTAGTTGAAGTGTTTGGTAAAAGAGAGTTGTGATATAATTAAAAGTACATCATCTAATTAAACAATACACCCAGAACTGGGCATATAATTCGAAAGGATTTCAACTGCAAAAACTATAATCTACAGATTCTTAAATGGAATAAACCGAAAGGTTTGCTGAAGCTAAACACGGATGCTAAATACTTATCTGGCTCAGCGGCGGGGGGAGCAATTTTGAGAAATCGAACGGGTCATTTTCTTCGTGCAGTTAGCTTTAACGTGGAGGCTTCCTCAGCACTTGAAGCGGAGCTAAAAACCATCCGCCGAGCTATAATTTGGGCGACCGGAGCTGGATATAGCGGTTTTGAAGTGGAATCAGACTCAGCGATGGCCATTAGCTTTCTCCTGGATCCTGATGCGAGAAGGTGGAAGGATATCATTCAGGCAACTGTACAGACACGGATCAGGAAGGGGATTACATTGCACCACACATTTAGGGAGGTTAACGGGGTAGCCCATCTTCTGGCCCATCTCCATTCGGGCCCAATGCAGGAATTTTTGAATATGGGTGATCTGCCCCAGATGGTTAAACGGGCTTACTATATGGATCTTTTTGGATTAGCCTCTTTTCGTTTTAATTAGACTGTTCCATTTAATTATTTTTGTCTTTTCCTTCTGTTGAGGTCTTGACCTAGTCCCCCTCACTCTTGTATCTATCTCTCTTTTAATAAAATTCTGGTATCTGACTCCCGGCATTTACCCCACTGATTTTGGTGGTTTGCCTTCCGGGATAAAAAAAAAATTGAAAGTACAAAATAACCTTGCCCATAAATTGTGCATAGTACTAGTATGCAGACCCGTAGCATACAAAAGAAGGTAGAGTTGGCATATGGATTAAAAAGCTAGGTTAGAATTATCCTCAAAGTTCAAGGTATTTACAAAATAAACTAGAAGCACTTTGAAGTTGGTATATCCCAACTTCTAGCTTGCAACTTAAAAGTACTTTTTTAATGAGAGGTTGTCATTATCAAACACTATTTTTAACTTTTTTTTAATCTAAAAGTTGAAAAGTGATTAAAATAAGTGTTAGAAACAGTCTCTAATAGTGTTTCTCCCCTCTAAATAGCTACTGCTCTTTGGTGACTTGGTATGACATCTAGGACTTGGGGTGTTAAGTAGTCATGCAATATAATAGGACAAAGTAGAGCTCTTTTTAGCATTTTTTCGCATGTATCTTGAGTTGCATTCAAGTATACATTGCTTCAGCCGAAAGTAAGAAACAATCTCTCCAACCCATAAAGGATTGTGATTTGTGAGTTTACATTCTCTGATCCTCATCATCTTTCGAAAAAATCAAGTCCACCACGAAGACATTCATAAATCGATCGAGCGTAGTTTTTAACGATAACCCCAGTTCAGATTTAATAGTACATGCAGGAGAGGGCACCCATACTTGTTGAATTTTGATCGAGCTAAACTTGCAAGTATACAAGTGTCGATATAGTAATTGATGCAGTATATTCCCGCATACCCCAGGGGTATCATAATCGCCTAGGAGAAAACATCACGGGGCCACATCGGAGTGCGTGAAAAGACTAAGTCCACAATCGGACCGACCCCGACCCCGACCGACCAAGGTCAGGAATGAACGTCAGACAGCAAAATGACCAAAGGCCAAGAGGTCATCCCGACCCCGACATCGAGGTCGGGAAAACACCAGGCTCAGGAATGGGCCAAACTCGGCAAGTTATGAGCCCGACCTCGAATACCCGAGCTCAGTACCAAGCTCGACCTCGGAGGTCAAGCACATGGGCAACCAAAGTCAGAGTATCAAGCGACCAGCCACGTCAGAGGCAGAACAATGGACAGGAGGCGAGTCCCCTAGCGATGAGCCCGAGTCCCCAATCACTGACCCCAGTAGAACTCAAGGTCAGGCCAAGGCATTATGTACTTAGATAAGTCCGCGAGGACCATCACTGCAAGGAAGTACTGCCATGTCATCACCAACAGCAGATAATATGCCAAGATGCACACGCGTAACCACACGGGTATTCTGGTAGCAGTTTGTTAGAGATAATTCCAATCAGCCAGCTGTCCAAGACTATCTCTCTAATCACCTTTACACGTGGCTGCTCCCCATCGAATTAGACTGATAGTTTGTTAGAATAGCTTTACACGTGCCCCCTTCCCATTTGATAAGTATCTTTTTACTTGGGCACAAAGTATTGCCTTCTATCTCTTAGTATAAATATCACCTTCCAACTTGTGAAAAGGGATCGCATTCTCTACTCTCCTACTGTTATACTGCCGGATTGTCTACATGTGTTTTCCGATCAGTTCGCTCTCTCATTTTACTTGGATTCCGACTACCACCGGTCTGGTGATCCATCATTTTTTGGTGCTTTCATTGAGAGTCGAACTGTGAACAGGTCAGATCCTCCTGCATTTTCTCCCGATCTATTGCAAACCTTTTCTCAACAATGGCTGGAAAGAAAGCTGTGAGAACCCGACGTGCTGCTACCGCCGTCGCACGGGTTGAGCCTTCACCGGAAGCTACTGCTACTTCTGGCGTCGGGAGGGCCACTAGGGGAAAGCAAGTCGCTGCAACTTCTGCTGATCTGCGCAGCCATATCCAGCGTGCTTCCCCAGATCTCCGACGGCAGATCTCGATGAATCGCGATGCAGCGGCAATGCTGCCCGCATAGGTGATCCCACAATTCCAGAATCTTCTGATGGCGGATCCCTCTGCGGCGGTTGGTGCCCTCATCTCTGGATTGCAGCAGGTGCTCCCCATGTTGCAATCCCAGCCAACAACTGCTGTGGCTCAGCCAGGAGCCACTGTGGCTCCTCATGCCACTAGGCCTATCTCGTTGGCGAATTCTAGATTCCGGTCTCTAAGAGTGGGTTCTATTGATGCCCCTCTGGTGGTGGATAGGCCAGCACAGATGGTCTATCAATCCCCCCCTCACCAGAGGGCTACTCCACTGGTGGCTTCTGTAGCACCTGTGAACGCTGTGCCTCTAGCACAGGAGGCGGGAACTTCTTGCCCCACTGCGGCACCACAGAGGATGGCTCCACCACCTCCTCCTGCATTGCCGACGAAATACACGGCACGCTGTGTTGATTACGGCTGCCTCAATGATGAAGGCGTCTACGCCGTCACCACG